TTTTGATAAGCATATTTTTGTAAAATCTAAAATTATACAAGTATTTGTGCCTTTCACTCACGTTTAACGCTTTTCACACGAGTTTATCTCACATCTCAACACAACGAACGAATATATGCCATCCGCGAAAATGCTCCTATTTTTATATTATTTTTTTAAATTTAGTTCCATAACAAAAAAAAATTAATTCTATTTTTTATGATAAATTGCAAGGGTCTCTGTTTTTACTAAAGGGTGCTTTTTAGGCGTGTGGTTTTCAAGAAGAAATAAAATAGATTTCACTTAATGATATGGTCAAGAATTTAACCTGATTGTTCAGAGGAGGGTCTGATATTATATTTTGAAAATAATTTCGGTCATGTGCCCACCGCAACTGGCTCGAACTGACTAGCAACCCAGAGACTTGGCTGGTGCATTATCTTCACTACAAGTGAACAATTCAACCAAAAGTGAGCTTCATCACTGAATAAAATTCTCTTATTTTCTTCGTTTTGGGCCCTTTCAACGCACGTGCGACGCGCTCGATAGTCTTACGGTTTCAATTCTTGCTCAAGTCTTCCGCAAAATCTTCCATAAAATGAATGGCCACAGTGCAATGGGCGATGGACTCATTCGGGCCTCCTTCGATACTCTGCTCCATAGCAGAGGTGGAGTCTTTGGTGCACACTGTATGACATCTCTGCGGATGTGCATGCCTAAATTAGCGACTTTGCTGGGCGATTTTGTCGAACGAATATTGGGCGCAAACGTTGCTCCGTAAGTCTGTTCATTATGAAATGGCAAACCAAACTGAGTATGAATCAAATAACAGCTGTCGAAAAGATCAACTCCAAAAACCGCGCCTCTAAAAAACACCCTTCCTTTGGCTAATTTCTAATTTTCGCTAAGCGTTGTCAATTATTTAAGCAAAAAAAAAACAAACATTCTACTTCCCTGGGAAATTGTTGATATCTATACTGTTACTCTTTACATTTGTTAAAAAATTCGTTTCAAAAATGTTTTAAAAATTTTGCTGTTTTTACTTTGTATTATTCCATTTTCTATCATCATTAAAAAAAAGTAAAAAAAAAATTGTTTGTTCGAAAGAAATCTGTAAAGTGTTTGTTGTAAAAATCATAATCATAATTAATAATGTGTAGCTAAACATTTAGTTTCGGTAATAATTTCAGTTTACTCACACATTTTTTTAACTTAAATTATCATTATTCGAAAAAATTCAAATAAACCAATTTAAATAGTGATTAATCAAGTGTTGATTATTTGTTTATTAAATAAGTGAGCTTTTGATAAATCACCACTTACGATTAATCAACCGCACATACTTAATTGCACTCAATTTCCACTTAAAAATTTGAATTCTAACATCTATAGCACATAACCTAAAAGTTCTATTATTTTTTTTATTATTCATTCGTAAGATCCTTGACTCTCTCTTTTATTAAGGAAGGGCTGCAGTAATAACAATGCACCACAGTGACTTAACCCCTGGCAGCAAGCATTTTTCTCTCAATATTTATCTGCTTTATGCACGCTTACTTAATTTTATCTTTATGTGATCTATGACTTTGGTTTAAAATATTTATGTGTTCAACAAATGCACTTGTAATTAATTTTTAATTGATTTTAATAAAATTTCGCAATAAAAACACGATTTGTTTATTTATCCTTCGAAAAAACTATTTGAAACTCGTTCCATATTACAATGGTCCGAGAAAAATAATATATTTTTGGGAGTCTGATCTACGGTTCAAGCAGAATAACGAAGTAATCACTGCTCCATTGCAACCGAAAGTATCGAGCAAATTCGTAGTATTGCTTACGTCAGGGAGATCCCGAGTTTCCGTGCTAAAGAAATCTGCTTGTAAATTCAACTACTGGTAATGGCTGAATACCTGTAAACAGCTTACTGTCGGAACAAGATCCCTGTATAGTCCGAAAGAGCGCATTACATACAGTATATATAAAATATTTGTAACCGCTGAAGCGAATTCCAGCCGAGCTGTGATGTGCGTCTTGATGAAAGGGCCTATTATTTATACTAAGTTACCTCGGAACGGCCGATGGACTTTTATAAAGAGCTTTTTAATTCATACCAGAAAAACTGAAGTGCGACCGCAATTGCAAGTTGGAATTTTTCAAATGGTAGTACGCACTGTTAGTGAAGTTCACATACGGATTTGAACTCTGTAATAGTACAAGATGTTGCTCGTTACGCAATGTTGATGTTGCTGTAGAGTTTTGCTACTAGGTAATAGAAGTCAATTAAGGGTAGACTCCGCGAGCGAGTTCGAATTAAAGAAAGTATGGTGTTAGTTGAGTCAGCTTAAGAGGAAATCAAATATGTATTGGGGTTGAGTTTAGTATGCTATAATATCAAGACGGAAGTTTATTCTAAGTTACCCGGGTCGTGGTGAAGGAATTCCGATCACATCAAGGTATTTATTCATTCTCTATATATTGTTGGGTCCAGGGTTTGTATTAAGTATAAGTCCTTCCCGATATCTCTAATTGGTTAGAGGCGAATTGCATCATCATCACTTATCGCAGAGTTAACTGTTCAACTTCGTTATCGAATTTCGTTACCGATCGCTGGCGAAACTTCTTATGGTTGCCCTAACAATTCGACGACGTAAACACTAAACAGTGTTGAGAATAAACCATCGGAGACGTGATCTGCATTATACTGAACGTGATGAGTATATCAATATATTGTATTATATCCATTAAAATATTTTTGGTTGTGTGTTTGTTTTCAGTGATCTGCGAAACTACTCTTATAGAAGTGAACCAGGGGCTGACCTAATGGAAAAAACTGTATTTGTGTTTGGATTTACTTAAAATTTGGTACAAAGGGGGCTTTTTACTTAGCAGAAAGACTAATCTTCCCTCTGTGAAGTATGCCAGAGAATAAACTATTCCAAAAAATCGTACTTACGATTCTATATAGATTAAATTTTTTTTATTTATTTACGGAAAGTAGCGCGATTTATTAAATAAAAATACATATTCATTGTTTGTTTTGGTTCAATTTTTCGATATGAATAAGTATCAATCCGATCCGGTTCGTTTGGCTTACACAATCCAGAGCCGGTGGTATAGTTCACTTAACAAACACAGCACCGGGCTTTCGATAAGAAGAGTTCTGTAAGCTTTAGAATAGAAACACATAACTAATTAATTTCGTAATTTGAAATCTCCGCAGCAAACGGTTTCAGCAATCACTTACCCTTCGTTCTTTTTTTTTTTTTTAAATAATATATGTACATTCATTTCTTATTTATCCAGCAAGTGAATTGACATTTTTATTTAATCTTAATAAATCTTTGGTGAACATATTATTAAAAAAAATATATATATATTTTATTATATAGCAAAGATTAAGGCTTACGAAAATTTCCTATAGGTATTTATGTAAATATGTACTAGAGTTGTCGTTGCGAAAATTGACAATTAAAACGAAATTATAAATAGTAACTTCGATTACTCATACCATTGAGTAGATTGCGAATGATCAGATATAAAATACTATATAAAGCGAATAATTAAGTTAAATTAAAAATAGATACTCGTACATATGTATATGCATTTGAGTGTGTGCGTGTGTAGATAAGGCAACGCAAATACTTGCATTTCTAAGTAAAATAAGATTAGAAAAAATTTTCGTTTGATATTAAGAGAAATTAAAACGAATCATGGCTTATGTTTTGGACTCACTTATTTGTTGTTTGTTTTCCTTTTTAACAGTTTTTTTTTGTAAATTTCCTGCTATTGTATAAATGTCATAAAAAATGTAAAAAGTTTCAATCGTATAAATATGTACGCTTACATCATACAAATTTTTTCAGCTTAAACTAATGCAGATTTCACTATAAAAATAAGCGATAAAAAACCTGTTCCTCATAATATAAATTTTTTATTTTTGCAGTTGTGCGTTTTTCTAATAAAATTCTGAATTTCAACTTCGTAAATGCTTACTTAATTTGTGTTGTGGATTTTGTATAAGTTTTTTCTTAAAACGAGTACATGCATTTGTAAAATATGTATAAATAGTGTGTCTCTCTGTTTATTTTTAAAACAAAATTTTATTGTTTACATTGTGGCACTTATTTTCATGAGAAACAAGTAAAAAAAATAGTGATATTTTGAAAAAATTTTGAAAAGTACATGACCTTTCGGGTTTTCTTCATTTTCTAGGCTTCAGCTTTCGTTTAAAAAAGTGAATTTTTCGTAAACATTTTTCTATTTAAAAATTGCTTTAACACTTTTTCAACAACTACTTTCGTAACAAGCGAATACTGAAATTATTTTGCGATAAGTTCAGATCAATTTACTTTTTATTTGTGTTTGAAAGCGTTAATTAGCTCGTGCTGTTCGTTCTAAACATACTTAGTTAAAGTACATATATACACGAGTATATATATAATATTACTGTTTAGTTTAAATTAATATCATCGCAAAAGTAAGCACTTTTTGTTTAAAATGAAGTGCTTAGTTTCCGGTGTTAAAATTAAAAAAAAAAATTATTTCAAATTTAAAATACAAACATAAATATGCACGTATTTCTTCTAATGCTTGAAAATATGCAAGTTAAGTTGGGAAGACAAGTACTTACACCTAAAAATAAATCATAAAAATTATATTTAAATTCCAAGTCGACTCAAAATCACTAATTACTACATTAAACTACACACTAGTATTGCTGCTAACATCGATTTACACTTTCGTTTCGACCCGACAAAATAGTGGGCAAGCAAAAGGTTGTCAACGCTCCACTATTGCGCATTTCATTACACATCATTTTTGCTTTTCATTTATTTGTTTTAAGTTAAATTTTTGGCACTTGTTTTGTTTTAGTATGCTTGCGGATTTCCTTTTACATTACACATCAATTCCTTCAGCTCTGACTTGAAATGTTCCTTCCTTTGTACACTAAAACGAACGTCCAACTGATCGCTTAGTCTACATTCGGCGTTCATTGTACACACTCTAATATCAATCTCTTTTATGGCTTCACTTCATTTCGCAAATTAATGACGTTCAACATTTGCTATGTTTTTTTTCACTTTAGTTTAATTCTACTTATTTTTGTCCCCTCAAAGTTATGGAATGTGTTTGCTATTGCGTGAGGGCTTTGGTGGCGGTGTGGGTGGCCTCTTTTCGCTTAACACGAAATTTCTGGCCTCTACATACTCATACGAGCTATTTGTAATACTGTTGTGTTGTGTGCGTTGTATGGTGGTTGTCGTGTTTGTTGTTATTGTATTAATATTAGCATTAAGTGGACTCAATGAGGGGAAATTGTTGGGATTCCAGTCCATACTGTAAGTAAAACTGCTAAAATCGGTTGAGTCGCGCGTTTTAGCTGGTAGTGGTGGTGGTATAAGATCCTCTTCCGAAGTGGAATCTGTTGTATCTACAAATAAAAGTAAAATAAATCAACATTCAAATTGTTTTATAAATTCGTCTTGGTTGAAAGTAGTTAAATTAAATGCCAGGAGAGCATACTCGGATATAGAAGGTAAAGGCAGCCCATAAGTTTTAGTGAAAGATTTTGAGTTTTTAGGTTTCTTGGTTTTGAACTTGAAAACATCTTTAGTACATTTTTTTATTGAAAAATATTTTTGAGATATAAAAGCTCAGGGACAGTGTAAGCTCAGCTTACCGAGCCTTGTTAACTCCAAGAGTTTATTTCAAAATTATTATATAAGCTTGGTAATGTTGTTACTCCTCTTTTAATTTACACATACATATATAACTAATTTTTGCTTTACTTTGTTTGATTTAATTTTTTTTGGTTCACTTTTTTTAACATAATTCTCTCTTCTAAAAAAATTTAAGTTCTTTATATTTTTGCAAATTGTAACTCACCAACAGAGTTTCGATTACTGCTATCAGCGCCTGACAAGGAATGCGCGTCTGTGCTGGAGAACCCTTTCATACCACTTGTGGGTGTGGCAATGCTGGCAGGCCGTGACATGCGTCGTTCCTTTTCCTTCTCAGAGCGCAATGGGCGTTTTGCGGTCAACTAAAAATTAAAAAAATAAATCAATTTCGATTTCAAACTGTTAACATGTCGATTGCAATGATCCTACCTCTTGAGTCAACACTTTCGGATCCGGTGATTTGGCAGTGAGCGATGTGTTGGAAGCGCTTGTTATGGATGTGATTGATTCACGCTCGGGTGTTGAGGTTATGGTCGTTAATGGCTGGGTATACCATTGACTATTAGCGACGGGTAGACTTAACGTTTCGCGATCCAACTGTGATGTAGAAATATATGAAATTGAAATGTAAGCAATTGATTCCAAACGTTCTATATGAATAAAACACCAAGCAAGGCAACAAAATTCACAAACCTTTTTCATTGAGCGCCGTTTTGAGGGCGTTTTCTCTTTAGACTTGCTTTTTGTACTGGGTGAATGGCCGAGGCTTGGTCTGTTGATGTTGGTTGTTGTGGTCGGATGTTGTTGTTGTTGTTGAGGTACGCAAGAGCGAGATAGAGAGAAATGAACACGAAAAGCGAACATTGCAAAAATAAGCAGAAAACGAACAAAAATTAAAAAATTTAAATGAAAAAAAAATAAAAAAAAAAAGTATAAAGCAAACCAAATTAAAGAATAGAATAGAGTAAAATTAAATCAACAACAAAAGTGTGAAAACAAGCATCAATGGGGAATGGTAAATCGAATTGGTTAAAAAATATAATCATGAAGCAAACCAAACAAAAAAAAACACATTTAATTAACAGAAATCCCTTAGATTTTTAAACTAAAAGTGCAAAGCGTAAAAAACGAGTGGAAGAGGAAATATAATATATTTGATTAGTAAACGTAGTTCATTCACCCTATAATTTATTATCGTGTTTATACATTTGTGTGTATTTTCTTTCATTGGGGAATAAGGTGCGTGCTTGGTTTGATTAGATACTCAGCTATCTTACGTGTTAAGCTATTTACTAATGTATTATCATTAGTCTACTACTACATATGCATGCAAATTCGTTTCTAATTCATTTTTCGTTTCAAAATGTTACCTTGGATTGAAATTAAAACTCGCGAATGTTGATTTTATCGAACTGGTTTGTGGTCGTGTCGAGGAAGTAGACTTCGACAAGCCGCTACTGCGTTTGGGAATATAACGAAGACAGTGTGTCAATAGCTATTCGAATATATGGTTTCGTCAGTATTAAAAATACTTACTCTGAAGAACCCATGCTCGTCTCTGACAAACGATTATTGCCTTCGAACATGCCAGGCATAAAGAATCCATTACGACGCATGATAACCGACTCACGATCCAGCTTCAGGTCACAGGTCTGCGTATGGAAAATTGCGATGAATGAATAAACAAGGGAACGAAATACGAGTTTGTCTTTTTCATGCATTACCTTCTTGCCATACTTGCTCTCCACGTTGGCTTGCATATCGGCGAAACATTTCTCCATATGTTCGTGGAAGAGTTTCAAGCTTTCAGGCGCCTTATGTTTGTGCAGTGTGATGGCTGTAGGGAGAGTTTGATAAAGAATAGAATTTTAAATTAAATTAAATAAATCTAACTAAAATTTATGCATAAGAACTTACCAATCTCGAGTAACGGTATCTGCGATGCGATAAGGTCCTTTAATTCTTCCACCAAATGCTTCTCATCTGCGTGCTCCTCCAGATAGTCGGGTGTGAGGAAAGCTTTCTCATACTTGCCGAAACCACCCATCACTGCTGGATCGACAATGCCAGTGATTTTCATGCTCAAGGTTTTTATGTCTAATGCCTCATCGTTTCTGTGCTCGATGATTAGGTCGCGAATTTCTTTATTGGTCTTCTTCATCGTCTCGATGGCTAAGGCAATTGGTGATATCTAGATTTTCAAATATCGAAACAGGGAATTTAACAACATTTATGAGGAAAAGCTTTCGATGTAATCAGCTACAATAGGTCTTGCTTAATTTGAAATTTCACTCACCTTGAATTTCTTTGTCTCTGTCACAGGGAACCAACGCAGAATACCTGGCAGTGGGTAACTTGTTGTCATCACTATACGTTCCAACCAAAGGTTACGCACATCATCAGGGCCACCACCGCAGTTTTCGCAACGTCTCGAAAATTGGAACTGTTGCACATTATTCGATGTGAAATATTTGACGATTTCGCTCGATACCATTTTGCCATCGAATTTGGTGAAATTCTCATTCATCACAGGCTCAACTTTATTTACCTGTATAAACTGACCATCCGCCTGCGTAATATCCTCGCCAGGCACTTCCAGTGTTTGCATGAGTTCGGCTTGTGGATGTTGCGCCAAAATACGTGAACAGAAATCGCTCAAGCGCTCATAGTTCTCACCACGAAAAATAAATGCTTCATTCTGCAAGAAACGTGGAAAGCCCAAGCCATAGAAGCAAACACGGAAGTACTCAGAGGTGTGTCGAAATTCTTTTAATATTTTTTCAAAGAACTGCGACATCTTTACCAACAGCTTGGCCAATTTCAAGTAATCATAGATCTCATTCTCATATTCCTGCGCCAATACTTTACACATATCAATAGCGCACTCGAACATGAGACCCCTGTCGAAGTAGTCGATGATTTCATAGTAGAGAGCCTCCTTCAGTTCGCGATGCGTGCGACATGCCGTATGGCGGTGGGAACGTAAGAGTTGAGACAACTCAGTGTCATTCCACTGCAGCAACTCGGTGTGTAATTTCAAAGTGAAGGCGGCTTCGGTGTAGTTATTGAACTCCATATGAAGATCACAGAGTTTGTAGACATAACGAATGTACATCTCTTTGCGATTCACTAGCGAGTAGAATTGCAAGAGTGAGAAAGTGCAAGCCATGCGATTTTCCTTGCTCTCATCTTGGATTATACAGCGATACTCCAGCAGGCGTTCCATAAGCTTTGTGACCATTTTCACAAATTCTGTGCCCTCAGTTTTGAGTATATTATGCGCTTGACACTTCTCGAGTAGTATGCTCTGGAAGAGGTCTTTGTAATCCGCATCCCCTTTGCCTGCAAATAACAAAAATAAAATTAGATTTTCAAAAGGTAATATAACGGAAAAGCATTCTTGACGGCGAAATGAGCCGTATATATATAATTTCGCTTATAACACTCACCCGCGCCAATTAATATATCCAACTTCTCGATCATTTCCGTTTCGAATTCGTTAAAGTTCGCTTTGTAATGCATATTATTGCGTTTCGTATCGCCGTAGCTGTTCGGCAACATTTTCGAACTGTAATATTCACACTGCATCATATCGAAAAATATCGGTATTGTTGCCTTTCGCAATTCCACTTCGGGTATCATACTCATTTCGAGTATCGGCTCAACGAGCTGTGGCACGAATTTCGGTTTGTGTGCGCCCAGCTGGAACCACATTTTACGTATCTCCTGCGCCGTATCCTTGCGTATATCACGATAGCGTGCAAATATTATCTGTCGTTTATTGTCGTTGAAATCGTTCAATTGGAGTGGTGACTGTATTAGAAATGCTATGGAACATTGGAAAAAATTCGACCACACTTGTTTTTCGAAGGGATCAAAGAAGTGATCGATAATCACAACGGATAGGTGTTGTAGCGAACGTAATATAACGGTATTCTGGTGCATAATCATATCCATCCAATCCCGTGAAAATACCGACTTTTGATGTGGCGAAACGAGCTCCTCAAAGACGAGTAGGATTTCGATTATGAAATCTTGCAATTCAAAACGATTGTTCAGATGCTTGACGAAGATGTCATAATGTGCGCCGTCCATGCGTTGCAAAATGCCCAACATTATTGCTACCAAATTGCCCACCAGCTGATTTTCACGATCGAGAGCGTGCGAAGTTTTAATTATGGTGCGCAGGAGAATCAACATTATGTCACGCACGTCGTTGTGTGTCTTGCCGATGTCTTTACGATAGAGCAGGCGCAGTATGTTGTTCATGATAACAATGCATTCGTTCACCTGTTCGGAGAGTCAGAATTGGAATTTTTTTAAATGTAAAAGTACTTACATATAATGTTTTCAATAACGAAGAGACCTAACTTATCAAAATACATATAATATTTTCCCCGCTTTTTATTCACAACCTGAAATAACTTTTTAGGTACCGTAAATATGCATAGAATTTGCGCTTTAACCATTTTCGCTGGATAACATTGGCAAACTTTTCTTCTTTTTTTTACTTTTTTTTTGAGGGCATACCAAGTTTGCTAAAGAGTGGATATTTGATGATATTTCACACAAAATTTGCATTAGAAAAAAACATTTTCAAACAACATTAATTGAAAGAAAATATTTGTTTTGGATATTCTTATGGGCTGCTCACAGGAAATGAAAATGGTAAAAAAGACGTTAAGTTTCAATTAAAAGGATGACAATTGTAAAAACTGAGCATTGGCTTACAGTGAACCTTGTCTAAAGCGCAATTTGACTAAGTTTTAGTTTTTTAAAGAGTCAAGTACGCAACTTTAGCTTTAAACCCATCAACCAACCAACAAACCAACCATGGAGTCAGAGGCGTTTATATTAAAGGAACATCTAGTATGAAAGTATACAGAATTACTTAGCGAACACACTAACCACGCCATTAAGAAATTAGCGGCTAAATTTTTCGTTAATAATAAATTAAATATTGCAGCAACAGATTACATGGCTGATGTTGGCGCAGTGATAGAGCACTCGCCTGTTACGTGAGGATCCGTTGGTTCGCTCCCTGCCAGAAGGAGTTTGGTGAGGAGATGTGGTGGTCTTAGAAACAAACAGCTGTCACAATTTTTCTTTGTTGTATTGTATAAGAAAAAATATCCAATTCATAGAAGCAAATAGGACTTTCGCTCACTAAAAACTTATAACAAATACATAATTATTAAGGAATTAATGAAGGAAGAAATGTAAGATTGAGTTTTTCAGTTTGACAGTTCGTGTAAAATCAAATCAATCCCCGGCTCTATTAGAAAAAAAGTAGGATGCCCAACTTTTACGTCTTCAAATACGAATTTTTTAAATTTAAATAGCTAAGGATTTAGCTCCACTTGGAAAGCCTTAAAGCACTTCAGTAACATCTCTATGGTATATAAAAATCTTATGCTCGTTTGTAAAAATGCGCAAATCTCCAAAAGTTACCGGCCAATAGACTTGAAATTGTCAGATTATATCTACAGTTCTCAGGTAGGCTTATACAAAAAAAAAAAAAAAATAATCGGGAAAACGGCCAGGGTGTGACGTGTTCCAAAAAAATATTTTTTATTTCAAATTCGGTACATAACTGAATTTTTGCTTAGAGAAAGAGGAAGACTACTCTTCCCTTAAGGAATTAGCCCAAAAACCGACCGAAAAATCATATTTACGGTTCGATTGAAACCATTTTTGTAAGGAGGGGGATCGAAATACTTGAAAAAATAGACTTATTCATACAACAAAGTATGAAGTATGAAGTTATTTACTTACCACGGTTCATTACCGTTTTAATTTTTTTAATATATTAACATCCTGTAAATCTATTCTAAATTTTATTATGTTTGCTGGAATGCTTCTGGATGATGGCAAGAGACATTATCATTCTTTACTTTAATACATATGTATTTATGTTCTAGATTCCAATCAAGTCAAGCTGTAAACCGTGGTTTAAGATATCTTTTGGCTACAAATGCAACCTTTAGTTAGTAGTGGCTCCTACATATTTGGAATTGAGTTTAAATCATTCTAAGAGCACAGTTTTAAGGAATTAAAGTATTTCTATTATATTATTCTTGGCACCAACTATGGAATCACTTGCGTATTCTTCTTGTTAATCTAAACTTATTTCGTTCAGTAGTTTTCGTATCTACACAAGACACGACTTAACTATAAAATACTAATTATATAATGTAAAATAATACTAATTTAAATATAATAAAAATAAAAGACATAAAAGAAGCAGAACTTAAACCAAAAAGCCAAGCTGACAAAACAAATGAAGGAATATATAATTAAAGCCGTTTCTACAGCACAAATTTAATCATTAGCAGCAGAATCACTGCAGTAAAAGCTGTTGGTCAAACTTAATCTACATACGATTTTTACATAATTAACGGCTCACAAACACTAATTGCCAGTACTAAGCGCGTTAATAATATACTGTTATAATAGAAGCAGTTGGCATTGTTCAGTCTGTCATTTACCAGAAAGCAAAAACCAAAACTCAACAGTTTTCTGCAAACGTGAAAATGAATCGAAACGGTTTGTAAACGTTCTTGGATATAAAATTTTCATAAATTCAAACAAAAGTTTTGTATTATTTCGGAATGTAAAAACAATTGGATTTGATTGGAAGAGAAACATAAAAAAATATCGAACACATTCTATTTTTAATAAACTTTGGCTAAAGCTTGAATTAAAATTTTTCTAAGATTGGAATTTTAGAATAAATAAAAACTGTTTAAAAATATAACATCTCCAAGTATAATAACTCACATAACTAGATATCGTTGATGAAATATTTGCAGGGTTAAATTTGAAATGTGGTTTTCAATGAGAACATTATTTTTCGAAGCTTATTTTCTTGACAGGTCTTACTTGACTCATACGTGCATTAATTATTATATCGGCTCGTGTGCTGCGTCCAATATTCGGTAGACATAATCGGTTGTATAAATATGTTAAACAACAAAAATGTCATTTGTCTTTACATTTAGAGAGGTGATAATCTGCAAGCCATTGTTTAGACGCCGTAACACCCTCAAAATGGTGTGCTCTATGAGCAGAGGGAATCATAATTGTTCATATTTTTTCAAAAATGAAGACGGCTATAATGTTGCAGCCAATTAGGAAATCTATAGAGCTATGATTATTGGATTCGCCCTGCCTGAATTGGAGGTTCGACAATGAAGGAAAGTTTTGGTTAGCGTATTATCTCGCGTCGTGGGCCGTCAAAATCATGGGATCTAACCGGTGGATTATATATTGTGGGATTATATGAAGTCGTTTGTCTACGCAGATAAGCCTCAAACCATTGACGCCTTGAAAGAGAATATTCGGTGCGTTATTGCTGATATACAGTCACAAAGTGGTCGAAAATTAGGCCTCTCGGCAGAAATTTTTTCGAGCTAGCCGCAACGGTCACTTGACCGAAACAGTTTTTAAAACATAATGGCAAGCCCTTATCTTTATAATAAAGCTAAATTCTTGGTCTTAACATTAAATTATATGCGTTTCACTTCTTCTTGAAAACCACATGTCTAAAAAAAAACTCTTGTAAACAAAAATAATTGAATAATGCTAAACTTAGGTCGGGAACCTTTTCAAAGGTGATATAAGATTGGTAGTCTATAAGTTGTGAATATTAAATTTTATTGCTTTTTTTGTTGTTGTCTTCTTAAATAAAAAAAATCGTTTTAATCATCACGCCTTAACTTTACATTTCATCAGATATATAATTGTAATACCGTTAAATCTTCATTTTCTTTTTGCGTGTCTTTGTAAGAATGTATTTTGAAGAGGAAACAGGACGAACACACGTACGTAGGATAAACTTCAAATGTAATAAATAAAAAGTACAAACAAAGTGTGACTAAATTGAAGTATAAGCAATGGAATAAACGATTTCACAAACCAAGTGAAAAGCATAAATATAAGTGAAACCATCTAAACACCCACTCTTTGCTCCCATTGCGTGTGAGATGTGTTTACATTTGTATGAGTGTAGGTGTTTTACACAGAATTGCTCTTGCTTTTCCCCTCCATGACTTAAATGTATCATTGTGTTTAATTTGATTTTGGTTTCGCTTTTTGCAGTTTTTTTTATTTCCGTTTTCTGTATTTTGTTTTTCATTTCAAATAGTTATTCATTGCTTTTGCATTGAATTTATTTTTATTTTCTTTTTACCTTTTGTTTGGCAGTTGTTTCACGCGTGTGCAGATGTGATTTTAACTGTCCGAGGACTTTAGCTGCCTTCGAGAGATTCTTTTCTTGTTGCCATATATCAGACTTCGAGTCACCCTAGACAATTTGATACACAAAACAATTTGCAGAAAGCGAATACACAAATAGTGTTTCAAATAGATTAACGAACGATAATGGAAAACATATTAAAAATATATAAGTGGAAAGAAATATTTATGTGTAGTTGTGTGCATTTTTTGCAATGTGTTTATATGTATGTAGATCAGTAATTGGTAAATAAAAGTTTTAAAGGTGCACTGAAGTGCTAATGTATATACGTGTGCGTGTGCGTGTGCATTAGTGACACACTTTATTTAATTACATTATGTTTTTTTTTATGTAATTATTTGCAGTTAAAAACAAAAGGAATTGAAAGAAGGAAAATCTCTACAAATTATACATAAATATAATTGTTATATGGTATGTTTGCGGTGAGCATTGTGAGCATTCAAATGAGTAGATGAGTGCAGAAATTATTATTTTTTTTCTAAAACCGCTATTTATGTAGTAACAAATGGGCAAAAATAGAAAAATAATTGTTTCTAGCTAGAAAATATTAAAAAAATGCACACAAAAAAAAAATACACAGATACTAAAACCAAATCTCTGTTTAAGCTTTTAAGTACGTTTATGAGTAACCGGGATGCAGATGGAGAATGATAATCTTTTGTATGATAAATTTGTATGTATGTGATGGGTGATTATGGATGGCTGATGGCGAAAGTGACTATATACACTCACACATACGAGTTGTGTATGCGTGCATATAGATATTTTCTAAAAGTAACATGATTTTACAAGAGTACACTGTACTGCGTGCACAACAACTACACCAAAAAAAATCAGAGTTAATCTGTGAGAAACATTGAGCACAAATACAACTACGCCCTAAATAACTATGTTTTACAAAAATTTGAAACAAAAGATTTCAACACTTATTATTTTATAAAAAAAAATACGAATTTTATACAATACAATAAAAAAATACTATATGTTTCTCCAACACATCAGGAGTGTTAAACTTTAAACAAAAAGCAAAGTTAAATTCATGTACATACAGAAGTACATTTGAAGATATTGTTCAATATATTTTTTGTGCAAAGAGGTTTTTTTATAGCCGGCAAGGAAGGGATTTTTAAATCCTTTAAGCTGCAAAACAAAGGCGCGACGAAATTTTTTGTTTTTGCAAACATATAATTAAAAATATATAAATTTTTATCACACCAAAATAAATTGAAGGAAATAAATATTTATTTACAGACATTAAAATAAAAAAATTGATAAGAAAAAATTTCATTGAAATGAATAAAAAATTAATAAGAAAATATTTTATTGAACAAACTTAAATACAAAAAAAAAATAGATTTGAACATAAAAGAAATATTTTATGAAAGTTTGTCATCACCTTCACCTGATGTTATTAATTTTAGTTTACTTTCAAAAGTATTGCAGTTTCAGCTGTTTGAATTAAGACACGGCATGCCCCACTTGTAAATGCTGAGCCGAAAGTGTGGTAGTGCGACCACAATTCATGATCGAAAATTGGAAAAAATTTATATCAAATCACTAATTCCTTAGAGAATTAAATTGACTGAGCAAAGACTTTTCCGAAATGTGGTGCTAGACTCTAGATTACCATCTAACGTCCAATGCAATGAGAAAATGTAAATAAGAAATACGCTAGTATCATTTTGTAAAACGTGCACATTTCTATAAACAACTCACTTCATTTATAAGATTAAAAAAAGTAGTATTTTATTATGTACTTGCTGATTATTTATACCCTGGACCCAGCGTGCGTCATTTCAAATAAACATTCAAGTGAAGTTGAGCGGCTAATAACATACATATACATATACACATATGTATGTATGCACAAAGCACATTCGTGAAACAACTACTAAACATTTACACGTTTTTGTTTTTTTTGCTCAAAATTTATATGTGAAATATATATTTTTAAACATAAAATAAAAATAAATAAATACAATATTTTCAAAATTAGTGCATACAAAAATCATGCCAATCAAGATGCAAGAAATAATTTCAACTAAACAGACACAAACACGGATGTAAACAAAAAGGAACGAAAACATGCTTAAATTAATATACATTCCAATATATATACATATTTGGTACATTATTTTTTTAAAAATATACCTATACATTAACGTTATAATACAATGCTATACATTTAAAGATTTAAAAAAAAAATATTGAATTTATATTCCATTATTACTAAATTATTCTTGCACTTAAAATTCGAAATAACATTGCAGCGTCAAGTCGATTAGAGACATAACATGGAGCTCAATATGAAGACGATTTTTATGAGTTTTGAAGATTATAAGTATTGAAGAAATTTAGTTACAATTGAGTTATCGCAAAATAACATTATTATTAGTTTGCAAAAATCCAGTTTTAATATTGTATTTTTTTTATTAATGAGCAAAATGCAGAGAAACATATCAGAAGTATATTTGGATGAACGAACACACATAAATATGTCATTAGAAAAGGATTAAAAATTAACGGGTTATATGAACACCATACGCATTTCAATGTTATAACTTGCTTATGTAGTAAGTAAAATTAATTAATTAATTTAAACACAAATGCAAAATATATAACGAAACACAGATATATGTATATATGTATGAGTAAAAAAGTTTAAAAAGCATTTAAATACCTCTTCTTTGCTCTCAAGACGATCCTTGATGTGATTACAGAATACGGGCAGCAAAACAGCGCGACAATCGGGTGAAAGAAACAATTTCGAGTCGACAAAGTCCTTAATGCAACCCATTTTAGATTGCGTCAAGCGACGCGGTGGAAATTGTCGCAATATGTTGACAATCACATTGCTAAATATGAAAGAAAAACCATTTCAAATTCGTTACAAAGAGTATTTAATGTGCGAACCAACCTTAAGCGCACTTCGTCAAACACCGTCATTAAATCAGTAGCGATGATATGCAAATTTTTGAGCAGAGCACCCTCCGATTTCAGCAAATCAGTGGGACAGGCAATCATTGATATAAACATCTGCAGCAATTCTAATTTCCCAAATATACAAGAAAATTAATATTAGAGCGATACTAATGAATTCAAAATCGGACACGCACCATGCAGCTTATTCGCAAAATCATCATAATCCGAATTGCCATTGATCGCAGCAAAGAGCACACGTGAACGTATAACAAATTTTATTACATAGTGCAAATATCTGGTGGTCTTATAAAGCCGCTTCACTTCTATGCGCTCTTCAATTTCAATGCCATCAGCAGATTTCTCTTTCGGTTCAATGGCTTCTCTGATATTTTTTTGCAGCACGTTAATAAGTTTGCTGTAATTTCATTAATAACAAAAATATTTTAATTATAATTATAAATGTTTGTTATATAGTAAAACTAATTCTACTAACTCATAGGCCAACGTGGCTGAGAAGCTCTCATTTATGTACACATCCAAAACTGTGAGAAAGTGTTGATATTTCAAATCGGATACGGTTTCAATTAGGTGTATAATACTCATAAACACCAGTTGATCGTAGCGTTCGGGGTCATCATTTTCAACCTGTGGAAGCAGCGAAAGTTTTAATTGTTATTAGGGGAGACAATTAAAAACTACTCACCAAAATGTTGAATAATGCATCGAGTATGTCTTGCAAAAATTTCACAACCTCTTCCCCGGGCACGTTCGAGAGTGCATTCAAGGACTCCTCAAGGGTTTCCTTATGCGCTGACCAATTAAGCAAACCGAGTAGGCTTACTAAAAAAATAAGTAAAAATTAAATTAAAAGAAATACAACTCCAAACATTCTTGTGAACATACAGTTAGCAAATAATTCGAATTTAATACACATATACGAGCTAATTATTTTTTCTTCTTACCGCTTTGCGTCAATTTCGTACTGCATAAATTGACACAAATTGTCAGCTGATCTTTAGGGAACAGTGATAAGCCGCCAGCCGATGGCTTAGTGCCTTGCAATTCACCAATCGTAGCGGGCAACTCCAAATAGACATTTGCATTATTTTTGTCATATTTCTTATGATCTATTTTGTACACTGTCAGTACATGTTGTCCTTGCTAAAAAAAAAAATAGAAAACAATACATGAGAATAATAATTGTATGGCATTGCTGGATAAACTCAAAGCTGATTATTTAACAAATTAACTAACCAGTATTGTCGTCCCATTGTCCTGCATTAATTTGACATAAGACAAGCCGAAGGGCTTCTCCGATTTATCCTTTTGTTCATTGGAGCTGCGATGTTTGAACATAAATTTCAAATGACACTGTTTAAATTCATCAATCGGCACATGAATCTGCAATGAAAACGTTAGATATACAATTTAAAATACAACAACACACTCTTCTGCTCACCTTAAAGGTCTCCAACCACTTTGGTTTGTCGTCATGATAGTACACCACCGACTTGTACTCATCAATGGGCGAGTGGCCAGCGCCAATGCTCATTACACCCGGCACAGTTTGCCCCTGTTCATTGCACACATACACCGTCACCTCGACATTCTTTTCCGATGTTTTGGCAATGCGTGCGAATTCACCGCCGCATATGGTCAGATAAAGATCATTTCGCACATCGCCGGGCAATATCACTTCGGGGAAGCCCATTTTACGCGCTAACGGCACATTTGTATGTAGCAAACGTGGAAAATCCTCTTTGATTTGTTTAATGTCACCTTGAAGCACCTCAATGGTCACCGCCATCTTCGAATCGATCTTGCCAAAATCTTTGTTAGCGATCAATTTGCGCAGCGTACCATCTAGCGTGTCCTTCTCGCACAACATAAATGGTAGATCCAAATTGCCACGGAAATCCTCCGGTTTATGCAAAATAGGCGTGAGATCTTTACAAGCAACACCAAATGGTCGACGCATTATGTATTCGGCGCTGTTGAATGAGCCGCTCGAACTGATCGAGAGCTGGGAGTGTTTCTTGCTCGACGGCGTTAACATGGCAGTGGTTATGCTGGCACGTTTCGAATCGTTCTCCTTCATCTCCATGGAACCGATGCGTATCGCATAGCAGACGAGATACATTTTCGGTATACTCAAATCAGCTTTGCTGAGATCGGTGAAAAGTACGCGATTATTGTCGAATTGATCGATATCGCGGGCGATGCCGGTGCGCGACCATTTTACGACGTAATTTTCGCTTATCGGTTTATGTGATTCACCATCGAAGAGCGTGAAGAGCAGATCGGAATCCTCTTGGAATTTGCAAACGAATGCATTCACGTGCAGAAGAATGCTGTGTGAATACTTATTGAGGGGGCGTGACGAACGTTGTATTGTTTGCGGTCGCTATGAGGAGGTAAGTGAATAAAATTATATACATATGTATTTTATTTCTTATATATAATAAATTTCAATATTCTTAATAATGTTGAAAATTATTTCAGATTGTTAGAAAAATATTTCTATTTAAATTAGCTGCAGTTTGAGGACGTATTTCTTGCAGGAAAATCATGTAAATTCTTTTGCGTTAAAATGACTAAACGATTTAAAATAGTTTTTATATATACATAGATATATTTATGTATAATATGTATGGGGTTATCCATTTCGTGGTTTCAAAAATTCAGGGCTGTGTTTGTTATGTGTAAGTTTTAGAGGTCAGGCATTGATGAAATCGGATCGCTTGACAACTTCACATCGCGTTAAAATTCTTAAAGCCTACCACAGAAATTGTGATCCAAGCATGGTGCACATAATGGTTCAACTACCTCAGCAATGGGTAACGTTTTAAAGAAATTTTAAAAGACTGGATGGTAACAGACATTGTAAGGCCCGAACATCATCGTTTTGCTCGTTCCAACTCAAATATAGCTGAGGTGAGTGAAATTATAACCGAAGACCCGAATGTGTTTATTATCGACGATCTCAAGAACTGGGACTTTCTTTCGGCACATTATGGCGAATTTTGCACTTGGAACTATACCTAGATCAATATAAAGTTATGATCACGCAAAAAGTGAAGACGTCAGCTGACCTCTCGAAACGCCGTACACACAACGATTGAGTTCTTTACGGCGGCTCTTCTTGCCAAGTCAATTGGCCACCAAGATCGTGTTATTTTACCCCGTCGGCCTGTCTTGTGGGGCTATGTGAAAGACCGTATGTGGCAAAAAGTGGTCGAAAATTACCTCAAACGGATCGAAATTAGCAAAAAATCGCGAGGCGATCATTTGAATAATATCATTTTTGTCAAGGTTCAAATTTTACAATAAAAAAGAAAATTCTTTAAAAAAAAAAGTATGATAAGTATTTACATTTACTTTGGAAATCTCAAAATGGAAATTAATTTATTGACTGCAAAATCAGATCGAAGGGATTTCTTTCGGAAATATTTTTTCTTTGAGAATTTCGCAATTGATTAAATTATACAACAAAATAAAATTTCATTAGAAAAATACAAATTAATAAGTATTAGTGCCCTTAAGTAGCAACCCTATTTTCAACACAAATATAGGTTTATATAGTACATATGTATTTATAAATTGTACATATACTCGTATGTACACATTTACAGCACATAATCGGGCAAGCAAATGCAAACTAAAAGAATAAGAACCTACATTCGCTTTAATAATGCGGTTCACCGCATTCATATGATGCTCATACAATTCCGTTGTGCATATCGTGTTCGTATCCAATATGTCGCCATTTTCATCACGCACCACCATATCTAAGCCCAACAGACTGTTTCCTGTGTCGATTTGCGATGTGGCCATCAGCTTCACTTTACGCATCTCGTCCACTGGCAAATTTCCCGATATGAGTAACGCGCGATTATTATTTAACTCAATCATTTTAGCGCGTATGGATTTAAAGTCGCGATGTGTGACCTGTAAAAAAAAAAACAATAAATATAAATAAATAAAATGATTACACTTAAACGCAATAACAAATAAAATAAGAATATATTTATATATACTCGTAATTGAAATATCAAAAATTATAAATAAATTCAGTTTATTCAAATAAAAACAAAGCAAAGAGAAAAAATAAATATAAAAAAAAAAACAAAATTAAACAACATTATACATAATCAAAAGTAAAATAAAACAATTTAAAATAACATAAATTAACAGAAAAAAGCAAGAAAGAAGAGCTGCCTACGCCATGCGAATTTAGGATTAAATATTAAATCTCATATCTGAAAAGTTAGTTCGAGGGCATTATATAGTTTTCCGATTGTGATGATCCGACGAAGGATATGTTTATTTGTATACACGTTTGTAGAACAGCCAACACACGCTTACAGCTGGTCTTTTGACGTATTTTTGACCAATGCACCATTTCCGAATAACTCGGTGTACATACGTACAAATATGGAAGCAATATGCTATGGTCATTCGCTTACGATAATTTTCAGCACCAATTCATTAGATGTGTGTAGAATACCAAAGTTCGTGCTGTCAGATGCTATTTTATCGGATTTCTGACCCAAAGTTTCAAATCTGAAACATCGCTTGAATATTTGCTGTAGTGGTCCGATCGGACCGATTCCGACAATGATCGTTTAAATGTAACAAGTTTGGTTGAAATATCTCCAAAAATCGGCATACATTTTTATGGATCTATCTCTGCTCTTTCATTTACATACATGAGAGGTATGTATAATAAAATAAAACAAAAATATTAATAAATTAAAAACAATTCGATTAATTAAAACTAATTAGAGTGCATCTGCACAGCGGCAATAAAGGGATTCACTGAATATTCATGCAGATTCATTCAGCTTTTTGGCACAGCACTTTTGCGAATGAATGTAAATCAATCGGCATGCTGACAGTCACTCCTCTTCCTTTCTTTCTTCTTTTTTTTTAAATTTTTATTTAATGTTTTACTCGATGACGTTATTGTCAACGACATTCTACGAACCGCAGGTCAATTCAATTTATACTCCCTCGCCCGCTCGCTTGCTCTCGATAACGGTTTATAATTGCACTCACCAAAAAATACTGTTTCAATATGAAGCCCCATTCCAATAGAACTTTGGTTATTTCCTCAACGATCTCAGTACGTTTGATGCAATACTCGCCGTTGATGATTGTGTAATCGGACAGATGTATGTAGGTTTTCGGAAATATGCCGCGTTGATCTTTATGTCTGCAAGAAATAAAGCAAAAACAATGGAAAATATTAAAAAAAAAAGGAAAAGAAAAAAATACACAAACAAAATTGTAGCTGAAAGAAATTAAAAATATCTCACTTAATAAAAGAGGGAAAAGAATGCGGGAAATAATAAAGCGCGCGCAATAGGCAAGACATTGAAGACAAGATTCGCCGTTTATGACCATATCGTACATGTCTTGATACACTCAAACGCAAGTACATACTCGTATGTATGTATGTATGTACGTATGTATAGCAGAATTTACTCGTGTGTGAATTTGTCGCAATAAAACACATGTGTGACAGCCGTCCATAGTTGTGGCGCAATAACTGATGGATTGTGGGGGGAAAAAGAGTTGGAAGAAGTAAAAAAAAAATAAGAAGAAGTCACTATATTATTAAACCCAAAAAGAGCAAGAGAAAAACAACAAAAGTAAAATGACAAATGTGAACACACAAACAAGCGTATTTTATCAGTCCGAAGCCGGAGGGGCAGTGTGAAAAATCCTTGTCTTTTTCAACAGAGATAAGAAATATTAGATTGTTTGTTGAAATATTCACTAAGGAGAGGTCCGCAAGTAACCAGTTCGCGGCATGCGCAAGCGCAACTCAATCAAACGAATATGCACTGAAATTTTGCGAAGAATGGCTAGCTTTTATCAAGAAAATGTTTATTTTTTTTTTAATTTATACATATATATATTCATATATATATACATACTTACATTACTTACATACAATACATATATAAATGCAAGCTGTCGTTAATAAAACATTTCAATTCTTTTTTCAATAATTTCATGTGTCATTTCTTTTACTGTAATATACTACATTTGTTAATATAATCACACTGTAATTTTAATTTAACCAGTTTGCAAGTACTTTGAGAAATTTACCGATGTCTATGACGTGCTTTCGCAGAAAAAAGCTTTACAAAAACCAAAAAAAAGAAAACTCACATTCTCCATGTGATTTCACAAACTAACGTTCCAACATACAGATATATTATATATGTATGTACATTTATATGTACTATGTATTTACATTAAAAAAAACCAGCTCATTATTTCTTTACGCGTTAAGGTTACGGTCATTAACCGAAAAATTGTTTTGAAAAAGAAACTGACCAAAAACAAAAAGTTGTTGGTAGCAAGTCGTGTAGGTGTTAGAGACGACGAATATAGTTTAAAATAGAATTAAAATGAGTTGGAAATGCATTTTGTCTGTTTGTATGGACTCTAATGTTTTCAAGCAGCACGCTTTCATAACAAAAATTAGAAAAAAAACGTGCGAGAGCTTAAACTGTTTTTAGAAGAAATTCCAAATTTCACAAATCGTTTGAGAATACCTTGTAACTCACTAGCATGTAATGTATTGTAAGAACAATGACTTTTGGTATATAAGATGCCGGAGAACGGAAAAAGCCCAAAAACATTAGTAACAATTTTACCAATTCCACCAGTTCTCGACATCATCAATATTTATGGCATAACATGGCATGTTCTGAATATCTGTTGAAAAAAATGTTGAATACTTTCGACAGTATAAGTGTGATTACCCAGTAAAACCGTACAACTAAATTATTCATATGAGTAAATCTTTCGAGTGTAACAAAGGATTATTGGAACATCAAAACGTTTGGAAAAGATAGAAAAGTGTCACCCTAGGAAGAATCTTTCCACCTGTGTATGTATGTTCCAGCTTTCATTCGGTAGAAGTATTTCACGACACATTGACTCATAAAGCAAATCGAACCGTGCATAGGATATTTGCGAGTAGTTTTGTCCCAGCTACGTGTACACTTCGCGAAAAGAAAGGCTATTAATGTGTTACTTTAGGCAAGGGCCTATCTTTCTTTCAAATAATAAGCCAATTCAAGACAAAATTACGATTTTTTCGAATAGATCGCGCCATGCATATTATACGTAAAGTAAAAGTTTTCCATATTTACCCAAGCCAAAGAGAGATATCAAGCAAATAAACCAATACGATTTTTCCCAAAAGATCAAGCCTGGGTATAATTCAATAAAGAAAAGATCGCCTTATATTAAACTTCCCGAAAGAAAACGTGTTACTTATAATTATTTAGACCCGAAACATCTCTGTTACCATATTTCATGCAAATCAAACGATAAATAAAAATTTTTCGAATAGAAGTGTCCCAGACCCACATTCCGGAAGAAAAAGTTTTTCCCATGTCACTTTAGGCAAGGAGTCACCTCTGTACCCGTTCTCATGCTAATTGAACGATTTAAGAATTTATTTGATTTTTCGAATAGATCGATTTCAAGCCCATTTTCTGGAAAATCTTATCGGAGGCCTATGATCACTGGTTTAGGCTGTATGTTGTTCCCTCAGACATTCAGAATAAAGCCTTTTATGTTTAACGTTATATAACATGTAAAAAAAAACACGTATATCAATCTACAACAAGGATCATTCATCAGGGCGATTTCACACACGTAGTAGCAAGAATACGAAAACAAAAAGCTTATGTATTTTGTTTGTGTAACCATAGTTTCGAAGTCACAAACGAAAATCGTTCGTTGTATTCTGTTTCCTATTTCTCACGTATTTTGTTTGTGTAATTTAATAAAAACAGAAGAGAACAGAACAAACAATCATATAATGTATCAGCTTCACATTCTATAAATTCACCTTGATCATTCATTTACAATTTGTATGTCGAAAAAAAAAAAAGTAGCAGTAGGAACCTAATCTGTATGTATGCATATAGTAAGTATCTGAATGAATACGGTTATCTTACAAATATTATTATTATTTTTTTTTTCTTAAATTTATTGATAAGCCGTGAGAAAATCCTACCAAAATGAGCATAAAATTAAGAAATTCCAATTAAGATATTCAATAAATTTCCCTAAATTTATATGGCAATCACTCATTTGTCTGACCCTTTCGACACGGTGCAATTTCTATTTTACACTTTATTTTTATTTATTTTTATTTTCATTTTTTATTACTCTTCCAAATTTTTTATTTGTCATTTATTTTCCACTTTTATTGAATCATAATGCTGTCATTTCCGATTCGAACAAAGCATACACTTAATCAAGAGTTTGCCTGCATGTGTGCGCCCACATTGTCTTTGGGGCGAGATTGTACATACTCGTATGTACATATTTATGTATGTATGTGTAAGACGGTACCAATGTTGATTGGGCCAACGTGGGTCAACTAAAGTATGAAAGAGGTCAGTGCTAAGCGTTCATGATGGAGCGGAGCATATTTGAAAGATGAAATTGGAAAAGAAAACACAACGTAAATAATACTAAACGAAAGATAGAAAAAAGATGAAGAGCCAGCAAGCAATTTCACACACACATACTCGTACTGCTCGTATGTAGTATGAACGTACACATTATGCTCGTGATAAGAAGTCTCTGGCTCAGTTTTCAAGTTTAAAATTGAATTTCTTTTTACTTAAAACTGCTCGGCAGCAGTCAGAAGTAAAAGATTTTATTTATCAAGTGTTAAGTTGCTGGGGAAATGAAGAAGGCGTCAACGGGAGCCAAAGTGTAAGCGACAATAGAAACGTATGTTTTTGCTAGTATATATGTATATATGTACAGGGTTACCCATTTCGCGGTTTCGAAAACGTAACTTAAATAAAATGAATTTGGCACATATTGGGCGATGTCTCAGCCATAGGTAGACGAATGTTTGTTGGTTTTATGTACGCCCACAAAAAAAGTCCATTGGTGTCAAATTAAGAGTCAAATCGCACAACAACGCCAAGAAAGAGATTATACGGCTGGGAAATTTCTCTCGCAAAAAAGTTATTTTCGCTTGATTTGTGCGGCACCATCTTGTTGAAACCACATATTGTTCGAGTCGTGTTCTTCAATTGGTTGGATTGTCGTTTATCATACGATCATAATGCCCCGTATTGATAGTCTCGCCGTTGTCATTATGAAAGAAGAAGGTCCAATCACACCTCTAAGCCAATCACCTGACAGCATTATTTTTTGTGTAATGGTCCTTTTTTAAATATTTGAGGATTGTCGGAGTCTCAAATGCGACAATTTTGCTTACTTACGGATCCCCGAGTGAGAAATGGGCCTCGTCGCTGCAAAACATTTTGATCGAAAAACACCAGCTGTCTTCAGTTGTTGTGTGATCTCGGCTGGGATGTAGAATTAAATTAAATTGCAGAATACGCCGCAATGTGCCGTAAAAAATGTCTAGCTATTGAGAACGTCGAGAAATAACAAACATTCGGGTCTTCGAATACATTTTAATTCACAGTAGCGATATTTAAGGTGGAACGAGCGAAACGATAATGTTCAGGCCATGCAATATCTGTTACCGATCCAGTGTTTTCAAATGTCTTAAAAATTGACCAATTGTTCGAGAAGTGTACATACATATAATCTCCCCGTAAAGCACGAAACGTCGTCACGTTCGGATCATCATTTTTGTGTTAGATTTTAACAACCCTGTGCTTTCGAAGCCACGAAATGGATAACCTTATATATATATGGCCTTAAATGTTTGTACTCGTAGATAAAATAGTGAGCTATGACAAACGGAGCAGAGAAGAAAATTGTAGATAACAGCAATGTGATCAACACTCGCTCGTCCGTTTATGGTTATGGTGCGAAATTGTTGTTTATTTAATGAATGCACAATTTGATAAAGAACATAATAAATGAGCATGAAGACAAAAAATAAAAATAATATAGACGAGAACAAAACAAGCATAGTGTGTTGAGAAATATGCGATCAACGGCTCAAGCAGGCAAAAGTAAATATCCGCAATGGTCAGGATGAAAGCCAGCAAACGTCAAACAGCGATCCGTGATCGGTTAGTGACGATTGGTGTATAAGTGATATTGTATGAACACATATTTATGTACAGAGAATATTTAAAACTGCAAAAGCTTCATCGAAAAAAAAATATGAAATTCTAAAAATATATTTTCCTTCAGCTTATAATTTGTTTAAGGATTACTAATGAAATTAGTTTGAAAGATAATTTTAAAAATATTTTTCCTTGCCTACTTGAAAGTAATGATAATTATGGCATTGCTGAATGCAAAAAAAGAATCTTAAAATGAAAAATTATATACACATAAACAATGTTGGAAAAATTAGAAGATTTTTGTCTTATCTTTTTTTCCGAAAAATTGCCAAAGCATAAATTTTGATAATTTTTGGTGTATCAATCACGGTTCAGCTTTACATTCTCCTCAATTTCGAGAACAAGGTAAATTTTTGTCGAAAAATCATCATGTCGGTTCAATTCACCTCGAATGGAAGCGTTAATAAGCAAGATTGTCGGTTTTTATGACACTGAGAACCATCAATTAGCTGATAAACAACCGTTTTACGACCAAAAGGTGATGTTTGTGCGGATATGGTTATTGGTCCTTACTTCCGAAAGCGATGATGGAGCAACGATAGCCCCTGATGGCGATCGTTAACGAGCCATATAACGAATTTTGATAAGCCTATTGTTCGTGAAAATTAAAATTTTTTCGTGGATATTCGAAACCAAGGACCATAGGTCAACTCAAAGGCAGCAAATGACGCAAAATCGCCGTCATGTCGACCAATATATTGGCCAAAAGCGATGGAAAACGCCGGAAAAGATCATGATTTGTACTCAAGGCGAAAGGTGGCCATTTTCATGTTATCATTTTCAAGAAAATAACTGTAAGATATGTATCTGCTTGAACCAAAATAATGATAACGATTATCGCAATGACAATAAAATAATTTTTTTATTTATACTTTTTTCAGAAAAAATGCTTTCACTTTAAATTTCGGAGGTGATTAAAATCTGTCTGAACCACCCTAATATGCTTTTATGTACTGTAAGTATGTGGCATACGAGTACGCTTTGGGGCTCCTCTATCGCGTTTTTGAATTCGTGTGCGCACACAAAACATAAAACGTGCAATACACATGGCGGCGCCTTCCGGATGGGATTCTTACACTGTTCACGGCATTGCAACACATGTTGAAGAATTCGAAGTATTGTGTTGCATTGCAAGGAGAAGTTCTTCAAGGGATTTTCTCGTTTCGCTTACTTGTACAATTTACATGTTTCGCGTGTGATTTGTGTCTGATTTCTTCACATTAAATATTGGCGATAAGAGTGATGGCTGAGGGGTTTTCACTACGACCGCTGAAGCAAACTCAGGAGTGGCAACATGTGTTTGCACACTTCGTCTACAATGATACAAGTCTATAGCGGCGCTTTTGTTTGGGCATTGATATAAATAAATTATGTACTTAAGACACTTTAAGATGATTTATGTTATCAGTCCAAAACGGTAATGTTTGCTCATATAAACAAACAAATACGAATGAATGTTAGCAACCATTTTCTTCATTTTCACATCGAAATAAATACAAACAAATTCAGGAGTAATACAGCATTAATATATACGAGGTGTGACAATTAAGTAATGAGACTGATTCCATAAAAACCGTATATTTGAAAATTAATTTACATCTCTGCCATACCCTTCAAAGTAGTCCCCTTGGGCAGCTTTAAAACGATTCCAGCGCGTTTTCCATACTTCGTAACATTTCTGGAACGCTTCGACAGGGATGTCACGGCCGCCTGGTTGTCCTCAATCGACTAAAAATGAGTTTCTTTGACCACCGACTTTGTTCTAGAGAACATAAAAAAGTCACAGGGTAACAAATCGGCGGGAAATCGGTTCAGCGAGGTGTGACATTTAAGTAATGAGACTGATTATATTGCCGCGATTGTAGTAACCCCGCGACTTTGAAATTTCCGATTCCTCCAATTTGTGGTTTTGCGTCTCGATGTTTTTCCAACAAATGGGGTGACCTACAGTTTATACTAAGCCGCCTTCGAACGGCTGACGATTTTTTTATGTGGAACCTTGATTTTCATGTCAGATATATACTCGAAGGGGTTGACATTCCTTGGCGAGCGTCGACGGCAATTAGAAAATAAAGCTTAATTTTTAAATTAATTTTCTATTGATTTTTGGATGTTAGTTCGACACCAGGATTTGAACCCAAGCCTTTCGGATGGCAAAAGGGAATGCTGACCGCTGAACAAATTTGATTGTTTCTCAGCAGATTTTTTTTTTCTTTCAATAATAAACAATTTATCTATAATAAATAATATGCACTAAAGGAAAAATCAAGGCATAAAAAAATATACATATGTATATATATTGAAGGGAAATTAAAAAAAAAAAAATACTGCCATTGGCAAAGCCGAAGTCTTTATACCCTTCATGAAGTTATTTTATTTTTTTGCAAAATGCAAAGTATGATTTTGATGATTTTTAGGATTCATAATTAATATGCACAATTCCGCTCAGACGTCCAGATACTCATATTGTTGCCAGAGGCGTCAAATTTTTCCACGCAATTTTTCATTGGCTTCAGAAATGCGTTTGACACGAAGTGATGAAATAATGGCACACAATTTGCTACGCTAACTTGCCCAAAAAAAATATAATAAAAATAATGACTTAATTTTATTTAATGAATTTATGACTACTACGCCGCTCATTAAGGAAAAACTAATTTGAAAAAAAAGTTAAATTTATGGTGGAGTTTATTATAAAAAATAATAAGATTAGTTTTTAGGTAGCCTATTTCGTTGATCCATACATAATGATGGGGGGATGGATCTATCAGGAAAAAATTTGTTTGGCATTTTGTACACAGTTAGGTAGTATTTCGGCGGTTAGATTCAAGTGGGTTTCTTTTATCGAGAAATTTACCTGGGACCGATCTGTCATTGGTTCTGACAGAAAAAATAAGGGTGTAACTTTATGCGTAACTACGTATACGAAAAAATCGTATTATTATTGTATTTACTTGCCATGGTAAGGGGTTATACCAGCAAGTGGGTCTGTTAGTAAGTTGAGTTATTCGGTTTTTAATGAGGTTGACAGCTGATACTTGATTTACAGTCAGAAAAAGACCCGTATGTGTCCATCCGCCGTGACGCGCAACAATCGGAGCTCTCCATCCACTTTATGGAAGATTTCGAGGAAGAATCTTGGACGCACGATTATCAAGCGCGTCACATGTTCGGTGCATTGGCTCAAAACGAAATGGTCGCCGATCTCAATTTCCAAGAGAAAATTTTGTGAAGTGAGCTTCAACACTTCTACTTGAATGGGTACGTTTAATAAATGAGATTGTCGAATTTGGCATGACGGTAATCTACAATAGAAACCGTTGTTAAAACGTCGTTACATCATCAAATGGGTGCTCTATGGGCAGAGGGAATCGTTAATCCATATTCCTTCAATAATGAAGATGGCAATAGTGTTATATTCAACGGGAACCAACCGCTATAGAGCAAGGATTAATGGCTTATTCGTGACTCAATTGGAGGCTGTGTATGTCTTTGACCTTAGGTTCCAACAAGGCGATGCTGCATGAAATACAGAACGACATGCTGAACACCCTTTATCTAAACATTTACATTACTAAATCTGGTGCATTGCATTCTGTCTATTTTGTTGATGCTCTCGCTGAAACAAAAATTTTAAAATACATTCTTGGGTTAACCCTCTTAAATGATAATTTTCAGAAGTCATCTGATAGTATCTTAACATCTTAAAAGGTATTTGTATTTTCTATAGAATTAAATATTAAGTTTCATTGGATCACTTTTTAATTTTAAAATTACTATCGTAAGGTTTCGCGAACTCACCTCTGCTTATAGCCGTAATACCAATGTGTTGTCTCCTTTAGAATCACAACCGAATCACCAACATCCAAACTCAAACGATGCGGCTTATTTTCCTGATCGAAATTGCACTTCGCTGAAAAGACAGAAAAATAGAAAAGAGAATTAAGAAAGTGAAAAATGCGGAAATCAATTTAATTGCACTACAACTAAACTTTTTACATAAATGTGTTAATTTAATTTTAGCGAACCCTCAAGCGACTGCTGGCCAACACACTATGAATTAATGGTTAGGAATTTTTAAAAAAGAAAATATAAAACTTACTTTACTTATTTAATTTCAACTTTAATACTTTCGACTTCAAGAAAACAAAACAAAAAAAATTAATTTTATTTAGCCGATTCAGTTGAGCAAGCATAAACAACAAACTATGCGTGATGATCAAGCACAATCGGGTTTGAAAATGGAAAATGAAAACAGTAAAAACTAAAAAACGCAACCTAAGCGTTTTGCTGACACGTCGCTACTAAATAATTGCCAAGATATGTTTCGGGCTGATCGAGCTTGCGAAACAGATTTCATATTTGCACTCAAGCGTGTATATTATGAAAAATAATAATAATCATATAAGCATATATGTATGTATGGTATGTATAAAAATATTTATAATAAATCTGAGCTAACGTGAAATGTTTATAAAACACAGCTTAGTGCGGTTAAACGAGCAATTTAGCTTCAAGCGTAAGCGCTTTATGTTTGTATGTAATGAGAGCAATGCGGGAGACATGCGAATATGCGAATCAGTGGGAAATTTTCAAATTTACCTTCGCTCACCTAACATCAGCGACACCGTAAAATTGCACGGTGGCAAAATTGTGCTTTATTTTATGTAAAAAATATTTGTCAAGAAAATTAAAAAAAAAAATTCAAATACTTGGCGAAATCATTATAATGGCTTACTCAGACTTGAAGAATTAGGTTAAAGCGGTTGTCGATGTGTAAGCATCAATAATTCATGCCAGTCATACCACGCTATTTACCCATCACCGAGCTTCACTAGCCATTCACTTCTTTTATAAAATTCATTAGATAATTTCTCTCGATGTCTGCTATCTCATACAAGTCATCGATGAAACCAGCTCCAAGATATCAGAACCCTACCCACGGCGGGACAGTTACATAGTAGATGAGGCACCGTTTCTTGCTCCTAAATCATCTCACGAAGGGAATCGCCAGCCTAGTGGCATTTCGTTCCATCAAACAATGCTCTGTTAAGACTCCTACAACTTTAAAGATATCCTCTCTTTGGAGAGAGTATATTACGCGTTGTCTTCTCCGATCTCATTGCGACCAAGTTTGTCTAGAAATTTTGCAAAAAGCAGCGTGGTTTCAAATTAATTTGGCCCGCTCAGTAATAAAGTCTCTAAACATGCTAATGCGTTATTTTTCAGAAATAATCTGGTTGGTTGTTCGCCTGCCTCACAATTTCCCTCTATGTCCCAAATAAGATAATTTGTTCTATTTGACCATCTTCTGTAGTGATCAGCGACGATCCAGCATAATTTTTGAAATCGTTGTAATATAGTCAAGCAACTTAATCGATATCTGAGTATCGTTGAGAATAAGGATATTCTTGCTAATTATTTCAGTTCCAATGGACTTTACTGACTTCATAATGGCTTAGTTTTCAGCCTTAAATACACAGCAATGATCGGGAAGCCCGAAATGGGAAACTTATGAATATACCTCCTCCAACTCTTCCATCAAGTTTGATCCATCAGTATACATATATCTCAAGACTATCGATTGGGGCATTGAAGTTATTGCTCCATCAGCCTATTTTAGGGATATAATTGTTGCTAGCTAAAATTGAGCAGCAACGGACTGTGCTATTTGGTATGAAATTGTATCTTTCTGGGATTATCGAATGACCGAATCGTCTATAATTCCACTGGTCTAGCACCCTAGCTCTAGCTCTGAAAAGCCATTAAGTCTAATGGTAGAATATCACATTAAAGGCCTCATTTTACCATTACTTTTGAAACAAATTACAAAATTTTTTGAATTTTTTTATTAAGTAATAAAAAAAATGTTATATTATTTTTTGATTTTTGGTGATTACTTGATTTGAATATATTCTATAATTTTTTCGAAAAAAATAAGCTTTCGAGCTTGTGGAATATTTTCTTTGTGTTAAACCACTAGAAACAAATAAATATTTCATAAAAAAATCGGTACACATTTTATCATTTTCCCACTGTGCAGCATTGCGTTTGAGTAAATTTACGATATTTCGCTAAGCAAAGAGCCGTTGTTCAAATGGGGTGAAAATAATAAATTTGACTGTTAAAAAATTATATTTTGCAAATAGTTAAGTTAAAAGGCACACATTTCAGATTCAAGTGTAAGTGTAGGTGTGTTCGTTTTAAAAATGGAACAAGCAAATTACACGTAGGAACATTGTGCACTCATAGCTTGCCATTTCCTGTGTCCACACGGCGTGGGGCGTACCAGCACACGTTCAAACGTACATATGCAGGCAGGTATCAATGAACTTGCAAGGTGATGAATGATTGTCAAAATTTAACTATGTCGAATGTAATTACATACACGTACATACAAACACGTCATTCACACAGTTACTGTTAACCACGTGAAAATATGAACATTATTGCAATTCATGCAATACGAGTACAACCACTTTGCCGTACGATTTATGAAAAAAATATGAATATTCACCACGAAACTGGGTGATGCCATTACAATTGGCCGGAAATTTAAATAATGTTAATGAGAACTGCACGTAGACAAAATTATATTTATATATAATATAATATATATGTATGTATGTTCAATTTCAAAAAGGTTGCTTGACAGCTCGGGTAAAAATGAAATACAATTTTTTTTGATAACTGCTTTAACAGTAACATTTAAAAAGGTTTCAACCGAGTCGTCTCGGATCTACAAAGCATGTGTTGGAAAACATCGAGACGTATACCACAAATAGGAGAAGGAACCCGGTCGAAAATCACTGCGTTGTACGCATAACCGCTAACCCGCAAATATACATCCAATGCAAGATTTCTTCAAGAACTGAGCTTTTCAGATAACTCTAATGAATGAAGGTACAACCGGAATCGAATGCCATGGCCTTACTGTCATTCAAGGAGGATCACCGAACTTTGTTTGAGCACAAAGAGTTGAATTTAAATTTTTGTCAAGAAAATCTTTTAGTGCCTATCACCTGGCACTTTTTCTCCTAACATTTCACCATCCAGGTCTCAACTTTAAACTCATAACAAACTGTATGAAAGCAACGAAAAAAGATAGTGCGCACATAAGCTTCTCAAATTACAAAGCCTGGCAACTAACGATGAGTTGATAGCTGAGTTTCCAACTTTTTTGTCCCGTGCGAATGCGCTTTTGAAAACGAAATAATATATATATAATTGGCGCTTGTAAAAGCTGAAGAGATTTTCGACCGACTTCCTCCGTCAATTTGGGGTTTTACGACTTGATGTTTTCCCAACGAAAGAAGGGACCTACAGTTTATTCTAAGCCACCTCTAAACGACTCATGGCTTTTTTTATGAGGAGCTTTATTTCATGTCAGAAATACACTCGGAGGGTTTGTCATTCCCTGCCGAGAACGAGATTATCGGATTAAATGAGTGCCACAAGTTTAGCTTATTTACAAAGTAAAAACCTTTCTTTCTTCGAAACACGTTTAAAATATATTAAAAGAATTATATAAATAAATATTTAACAATTGCAATATCTACTGCACATTGAACAGCTACTTCAAAAACTACTGAAAATAAAAAAGAAAACCTTCTGTGAAAGTGTTACAGTTAAGACCTGTCTCCAATAAAAAACCTCTCATAAGCATTCTTTTATCTTACGAATGGACAGACAATCGATGACCAGCAGCTTATCAGCTACTCTACCTTCGCTCCAGTAAAGCGATTTGCCGTTGAGCCATTTTAAACTAGCGAAAACCGTTCGTTACCCAACACAAAGCGGTTTCAATAGACAGAAAAGCAAGGCAGAGTATGCCATCAACAAATAAAAATTTACTTTCTCATTTCTCTTCTTTATTTTTATTTTTAGTTTGGTTTGTGTGCTTGTGTCTTCCTCAGCAAATCACATTCGCAGACAAATGCCAGTGAAAATATTTTAATATTATACATATATGCAAAGTAGAAGATCTGGCAGTAGCTAAAAGAGTAGCTAGACGACGACGGTAGGCGCTAGCCCGTGGCTGAAAGCTGTTGGTCGACTGGCAGACGGGCAGACAGACAAAATTTAATCAACAAGTGAAACAACAACAACAACTGCCGGAGTTTAGCAGTTTCTTACGTTTCTTACAGATATAAAGATATACTCGTATCTATGCTTTATAACTTAATTACGGCACACAAACATATGTGCACGTACATATGTACGTATGGTACATACATACACACATACAAACGTGCTTTTACAGTCAATTATGGACCAAAGCGAACATGTGCTGCTCACAGCCACATGCTGAGCTAAATACTCCACTTGAGCGTACGATGACCGAAAATTTACTAAAACAACAAACACAACCACAACAACAACAACAACAGCAACAGTGTCTCTCATATCTGTTGGAATTTCGTTTATTCTCGTTTAAGTTTTCGTGTTCTCTGCTGAACATAAAATATTGTACATACAACATTGAAGCGAAGCGACCTCCACTGCAGCATTGACAACAACAACAGAGAAAAAATAGAAAACAAAACAATAAATGCATGTAAATGCAACAAGTGCAGTGTGCAATGCAATTTTTATGCCATTTAAACAGGAAAAGTGGAGTTGAGCGGAGTGCGGAAAAACTATATGTATGTACATACCCGAGTAGATGTAAACAAATAATGTACCCTCGTCATTAAATTGCCAATCAACACTAAATGACACACTCGTGGCAATGGACACTCGCTCGCTGTTGGGGTGCGGTAATTGCAACAGCCGGCGAGCGAACGGTAGCACTTACCAGCGCTACATACTAACTGTGTTGTGTTGTGCTAGGTTAGATAGATGCTGGTATTTCGACGTCGCGCTAGAGTAGTGACATCGCCGACGAATCAATTGCAAGCGGCGCTGAAGCAT